CTGGAAGGGACCCTATGAATCATTGGGTCCAGCCCATCAAGGAGGCACAGTGGGAAACTGAACTTCCAACCTTTGGCTCCACAGTCAGATACCTAAGCCACTGAAATATCCAGCAGTCCTTCTTGATTAAAAAATGTCTTGCTCAATTAGCAACTCACTTTCTGTAATTCATGGTTGCTTCAATATGATCTTACAAATCTGAGTTATGGTTATTTTTAAGACTGAGCTTTTGAGCCAGGAGATGGGAACCAGAAGTTTATGGGAATAAATTAAGGACTGAGCCACAAACCAGTATACCAGGCCAAAGGGCAACCACAGGATGATAGGTCAGGTTGACAGAATGCCCTTGGAATAACCAGAATTCAGGAAGACTGTGTTGTTGAAGTATAGTCAGTTGGAGCAAGAAGGCTGTTTATACTTCTTCTTTCCCAGAAGAATTCATGGGCCAGTCCAATCCAGGACCTTAGGCTCCCACAAAGGGTCTGAAGATTCCAGACTCAGCCTTTAATAGAGAACATCTGCTTAGTCGTGTAGCCGTCAAAAGTAACTGTCTTGGTCAATTTACCTGTGAAGAATCAGCTTCTACTAATCTTTAAAATGAAGTAGCCTGAACCATAGGCAACCTGAGCCTTACCAGAAAAGAAATGTTGTACAGTATACACAAAGTACTTAATTTTTGGAACACATAGCATAGATTTTTGAAACTTATATACAACCGTTAGAGATTGTACAGCTGATGTTGCATATGCAGACACTATGTTCATAATGGGGATCTCATACAACACAGCCGGATACCTATACCACTGAGCTATCCAGCCAATGAAACAAGGAAAGGACAGAAGCAACACTACTGCGTGACATGTTTCCACAAATAGCCTCTTGAGTACATGACAGCAAAAGATGCCCACTCAGGGTCTGTTCTGCCTTTTTTGGAGTTGAGCAGGTAAAAATATGCCAATTTTATTCTGTGTACAGGACAACTCTTTTCCCAGCAAATCCAAGGCTGAACTGGATGTGCTTTCTCAGACACATCGTGCTATGTCAGCAGGTGGTCAAAATAGGCCAGTTGTTAAAATTCAGATTGCAAGCTAAGGGTACGAGTGATGTTTTGGCTGTATATCATCTTGAGTATCAGATTGCCCAAAAATCAGATGTTGCAGTACAATGTCTTGTTATTGTTATATGCTGTCAAGTTGCTTCTGACTTGCCCTCATTTGAGTGCGGTGGCTGCAAAATGGGACACAGGAAGATGCCTTATCCTGAGCCAGAATGTTGGTTCATCTAGCCTTATATTGTCAATTCTGACTGGCAGCAGCTATCCAGGGCTTCTGATATGATTATTTCTTAATTATATCCAGAAATGATTTTCTAACTGTACCCAACTCTATCTCTCATCTCTATCTATCAACTCTATCTCCCATCTAAATCCAAGGAAGCTGTTTTGGTTCTAAATCACTAATGGACTGGATGAAAGCAAATAAACTGAAACTTAAGATACAGGTGCTCCTGGTCAGTCAAAAAGCAGATCAAGGAATAGGGTTGTAGCCTGTGCAGGATGAGACTGCCCTTCCTCTGGAAACACAGGTGTGCAGCTTAGGAGTGTTTCTGGATTCATTTCAGAGCCTGGATGCTCAGGTTTCAGTGGTAGCCATGAATGTGCCTTTGCACAGTTAAAACTAGTGTGACAGCTGCACCCATTTCTTGAGAGGACTGGTCTTAACCTATAAAGCCCTAAAGGGCTTGGGTCCAGGCTGTCTAAAAGACGGCATCTCCTTCTTTGAGCCTGCCCAAGCTTTAAGGATCTTTCTCTCAGTCCCGCTACCCTCACAGGTGTGTTTGGTGGAACACGGGAGAGGGCCTTCTCTGTTGCTGCTCCCAGACTTTGGAATTCCCTCCCACAAACAGCCGGGCTGGCTCCATCTTTGCTGTCCTGCAAGTCGGAAAAGATCTTTCTATTCAGGCAGGCTTTCCCTTAATAGCAGGTGATCTGTGAGGGTTTTCTTAATGAATGGTTGTGCTCTGTTGTTTTAAATGTGTTTTGTATTGACTTTCTTACTGTTATTATTTTAAATACAGTGGTGCCTTGCAAGATGATTTTAACTCATTCCACAAAAATAGCTGTCTTGCAAAAAATGCAAGATGATTTTAATTCATTCCGCAAAAATAGCTGTCTTGCAAAAAATAAAATTTATTCATTTTGCGAAGCATCAGTCTCAAAAACCCCCCATCTTGCGAAGCATGGTCATAGAGAAAACCATCTTGTGAGGAACCATAGGAATCGCTAAAACCAATCATCTTGCGGGTTTTTCGTCCTCCGAGGTAATAGTCTTGCGAGGCACCACTGTATTTGTATGCCTACTATTTTTAGCTTTTACATATGATCTTTTTTTAATGATGTAAGCTGCCTTGGGTTCTGTTTAAGGAGAAAGGTGGGATAAAAATATTTTAAATAAATAATAAATCCCTGGTAGTTCTCCCATCTAAGGACTAATCCGTTTGACCATGCTTGGCAACCAAAATCAGACAAGACGGGTGAGTTCAAGATGGTGGGAATGTCATACTGATGAGGAGGATGAATCTTCACACAGATAGTGAAGGGAACGACACTTTAAATAGCAACTGTTGGCAGATACAAAACTGGTCTTCAGTTTTCAGCACCACATGATCTACCAAAACGTTTCATGCCAGGCTGCCTGGACACATCCATTCCAAATCCAAAGAATTAGCACAAGCCATGGCAAGCAGAAGCAGAAGGAATTGTGCAATTCCCAGGAGCACTGGGGAATTCCTTGGTATGCAGCATTTATTCACAGAACTGGCAGTCATACCTTGTCAGAAATGAATCCCAAAAAGTGCCATTTTCAGTGGTGCATAGACTAAAAATTTCACGGAAGCTTAGAGGAAGAAGGTATCATAGCCAGGTTTTCTGTGTCTACCCCATGGCTTAACAGCATGGCCATCACTAAGAGAGAGATGGCAAGCTGCAGATTTATTTGTATCCCAGAATACTTAATAGAGTTGCACCTAGACAACATTGCTCCATTCCAATGGCAGCAGATGTTCAGCACTGACTGGCTGGTAAAAACATCTTTATGATCCTGGATGTGGAAGAGGGATTTGGCAAATTGGATTAGACAGGGAAGCCTGCTGACCTATGTATTTTCAACCCAACATGGGGCAGATATAAATGTCTCATTCTACCTTTCCGAATTAAGTCAAAGAGTGAATTGTTCCAACAAAAGAATTACGAGACATTTGGAGAAATCGTAGGGGGTCCCCAAAATAGCAGACAACTTGATTATAGTAGCTCCCACCCTTGAGGAACATGACCAGATCCTGATAAATGTGACAAAGCATGTTAAATTCATTCTACACAAGATATAATTCATAATCTAAGGGATAAAAATACACAGGATATTTTTGTCCACAAAGTGTCCCATCTGATGACAGCATCATCAGGGAAAAAGACTCACTCTCCTTCCCATCTCCCTTCCCTCTCCCTTTCTTCCTGAACCCCAGAACAAAAAAGAAAAGAAAAAGAATCATGCCAGCACCCTGTAGGATAAACTAATTTCTTGTGGCATACGCCACCATATACCTATGTAAGAAGTACCAGATATGCAGCTGAACAGCAACTAACCAAAGCGACAAACAAAGTATCTATGGTCAGGTTCTCAATCTGTCAATGCCCAAACAGCTGCAGACTTCTTCTTCTTCTTCTTCTTCTTCTTCTTCTTCTTCTTCTTCTTCTTCTTCTTCTTCTTCTT